ACATAAAAGGGACAAAGTTTGCATGGGAATTGATGTATGACACTACAACAGTTTATATATTTTAAAATTCATTCAAAATAGTCTAAATTCTTAACTGATGGTTTTTCAAGAACTGATGACAAAAATACAACTGCGTAAAATCGTTATTTTAAATAAAATTCCTATATTCGATAAGTCAAATACAATACAAAAATACTATTTACAAAAAAGATAAAACAAAACTGCTTAGTTAAACCTTAAGAGATTAGTATTTTTGTTCTATCGTAAGTTACATGAGATCAGAACCTTGTTGAGGTAATAACCGAAAGACGTTATCAGTTGAAATTACACAAGTTGAGATAAAGGTACGAAGTTTTGGATTGTAAACATGATTCTCAAAACAGCTCCCGTAACTGTAATGTGTAAAGTTAAAATTAGATCTAGACATACTCAAAGATGACCGTGTTTTCAAGAAATATTTTTAAGGGAATTTTTTACCCAAGTCCATGGATAAAATCAGATAACTTGGGTAAAACTAAGGTGTTTATAACAATTACTTATACTAATCATCAACACTCAATTTTAATACCATTCAACATTCATAGTGTGTTCACAAAACAAGTTTTATGGGTGTGAATGTATATAAAATTATGGAAATTAGTTTAGATCATCATTGTTAAAGTTCGTGCATTATAATATTTTGTTTAATAATATACATAGTAAAAATATATTTTATTCAACCGTTTTAGTTTATTGTTGTTTTTATTTTATTTGACAAAACAAATTAATCGTTAGTTGAACCGTCAATTCATAGCTGTTTGGCTTTTGAACTGCATCCAGTGACCAAGAGATTTAATACATTCCAACAAACTTTTTCTAAATTAAAATTACCGTACCGTACCCAACTACAACCATGTTTATACTGTATTCTTGTATACTTAACTTCAATTTTACCACACTATAACAGAACCTGTTTTCCGATTAACCTACATAAAATTCAAACAAAAATTCCTTGCATTAGGCGAGCCATAACATTACTCATTACGTTCCAAACACAATAGTAAAATAAAGAAATATCCTTGCTTTGCAACTGTCAATCTTCCTCAACCGTGTAGTTTATGTAACGATCTCGTAAAGATAGTGTTAACGACACGAGTATGCAATTACGCACCAATATTAAACAAAAGCAACCTTAAGAGTTTAGTGCTATCATAGGTTGCCTTTCTTTAGAACATCTACGAGTGTCGTTAAGACTATTTACGCAAGTTGCGTACACTACTTTACCTACGACAGTTTTTTAATTACTATCAAACAATCAATACTCATATCTTCAAAGAGAGGTCATGTTTTCGTTTATGTTTATAACCTCTCACTGCCACTGACAGTGATGCAACAAATCATATTACCAAACACTAATTGCACCACTCATTAACAATTAAATTGGTCTTAACAGCTAATTAGTTGAAGTTCAAAGCAGTACATTTTTACTTCTTTTCACTCAGTTCTTGACCCTCATTGGTCCGTTACTCGTGTTGTTAAGTAAAACAATGCTGTTAAGTCAATCTTTTCAATTCATAAGAACTGAAATGAAACAGCTAGTTATAAAAATAGTCGTAGGTAAATATGTTACCAATTTTAATAATGTTACACTGTTACCAATTTCATAAGAAAATCATTGCATCTTATAGAGGAAATCAAATGAAATTTTAAGAGATTTTGAGATTTATAAAATAAGATTTCAGACATCTAATATAAAGATAGCATTTCAACAAGTGAAACTACTAAGACAGTTAAATAGAACATTAAAAAAAAAGTTATCGTATGGTTTTTGGTGGCTTTCAGGGTGATTAGCCGGTTTTGAAATTTGTTTTAACAGTTTTAGTTTGTATGGTTTCTTTGTTGGGAAAAACTATTTGACATTCAATCTGTTGCCCCCCATAACGAAAACAAGGGAAACATCATAATATGTTTAGCCCTTAGGCATTTCTAAAAGTGGTGTAAAATAAAAACATATGTAGCAAATTGCTAGTCTTTTGAGACAATTTGATGGGTAGAAACTGATTGTTATTATCCAAAGCTCCCCCAAAACTAACCTTCCCAAATGCGGCCTTGGAGCTACATTATACAACTAAAAACCCATACAATAACCTTTTTTCATAGGTACAAATAATTTCTTTTAATATCCGATTTGCCAAGTGGAAGTTTTGTACAGGGTGACTGAAAGGAACTGGATGTTTTTCAAACTAATAGTATACGTGCGACAGTTATCGTAGCGTTGGGAGGGCTTGTCATTCATTGCTGTAAATTATATAATTTTATTATATAATTTAAAATTGTAATTACAATAGAAAAATATGTATTGTGCAAACTTCTATTTTCAACCTATGCTGCAAATAAAACATGTGATTGGTATTTCTTCCATTTGTTTGAATTTTCTGTTTATATTTCGTCACCAGCGTGGCAACCTATAAGGGACATGTCAATTTATAAAGGGATTCTGTACATCTGTATATCAAATATATGTCTAACAGTATGCGTAGATTTTCCCTGTGATGCACACGAGCTGAGAAAAAAGGTTTTCAAGGGACATGCTTGCCTATTAATATATAGGACAATTGACAGAAAAACAAATGAGTAAAGATTATTTTAAAAAGGTCCGGTTATTTTCAGTCACTCTTTACATTTAAATAAAAGAACATAGTAAGGTACATTTATTAAATATTTATTTTACATGTATTTACACTATGATACAAACTTCCTTAAGCCAAAATTTCACATTGATCGTTTTCTTAGTTTCTTGTATGTTACCTTTTGACAATTGAAACAACTGGACATGTACTTAGTTTGGTTGAGCCACCAACAGACAATGGCAATTACTGATTTATGTTGAATCTGCGAAATTTGTCAGCAAGCCAAACTCTTTCAGTAAACTATTTATTCGTTTATGGCACTTAAATGGTCAAAGTATAAAAAAATAAGAGAGATATAATTTTGACAGAAGCAAACAATGTGAATGCTTTATTTAACTGTGTTCTAATATGAATTAAATATTAACTACTGCTGATCCATATGGATGGGATGTCTACTACGATGACAAAAAGTAAATGTCAATACCTAGAATAACTTCCTTAGTGTCATGCACATGTTTTGATTATCACAGGAACATGGAAGTAAAATTAAACATTTTGATTGGTTTTGTTTTCCTTCACACTACTAGAGATTTATTCCACATTATCATCTTGTTTATATGTTGCTTTATAGCATCCATGTTATTCTAGGTGTTTTATTTTGTAATAAAAAGTTTAACATCACAATGAAAAAATAAAAAAAATAAAAAGTTTGTCTGCAATAAAAAATTATAGCTAGCCCATTGAATTCTAGGGTAAACTGTAATACACTGTTACACAACAACAACCCTTCATCAGGCACTTTAACTTTAAATGAGGTGCTCTTTGGGATTACACCTATCTGTGAAAACACACATCATAAACATATCAATAATATTTTATTGTTTTTAATTTATTCAAAAAATTGAGTAAAGTGGACCTTGAATTAATATGTAATTAATATTATTTACCAATTCAGATGGCGACACAACTGCTGGACGTAGTTTTAACCGAGACTAAGCGATGAGTTTAGAAAGGAGTGAGATGTCATGTCTAGCTTTGTTACCGACTGAGACCACTTATTTCTTTAGTTACTTTTTTGGAAGTAATGCTGTGTTCATTTAAACAAACAGTGGCATTTGTTGTGGGATAGGTACCAGGACAAATCCACAGTTTTATTTTGTATGGGAGGAGAAAAAAAACACACACACATGTGCCAAATCATATTTAAGTGCCTAATGGAGGGTTTACCACAGGATCCAGTAAAAGTACACTGTTTTCCCAAACACGAGGGTTGGGTTCATAATTTCAAGTTTAAAAATAACACCGAGTACATTAAAAATTTATTACTCCAAGAATGGATATTTCCTAGTTAACTACAGTATTTATACAGTTGCAAATTAGTGCTCTGTATTTCCGAGAAACATTGAAACCAAGCACTCAAGAAACCGAATGCTGACGGATAAGGTTTGTTATTCCGAGTTTAGGTAATTCAGAGTACATTAAATTTAAACATGAAAATTCACAACTCAAAGCGTAAAGATTTCCTAGTGAACAAATAATTCAGTTACAAATTGATTCTGAGTACTTATAGTTCCCTGTAACATCAAAAACGAGTGCTAACTACATTAATTTTTCCGAGTAGTACAGTCTGTTTACACACACATATAATTTATTTGCTGCTGCGTGGGAAATCCTATCAAAGTTATTGCCAGTTTAAGATACAAAAATGTCAACAAGTTTAATTGAGCCACTGTTTAACCAATTCAAACTGACAAGACCACTTATTAAGCTATACCATTTTCTACATTAAATCATCTATGTTAGTAATAAACTAAGGAAAAGGTAGTTTTAGACTGTAGTGTGTGAATGGGTCATTCAACCATGTTCTTTTTGAATAAAAAAATAGACTACAGCAGGTCCACGTAGTAGGGATTTCTACATTAGTGTCCAAAAGTCAATAGTGAAATTTAATCATATGATAAAGTGACCTCTGAAAGTACTGTGAATGCAACAATGGGTTTATTATTTTTTTACATGCGTGGGCATTGACATTATAACCTATCAATACTGGTTCGTTGTTCTGTGTGTACAACTGTTATAAAGAGTCTTGATTTTAAGAACACAATTCACTCAAGATTTCCTAGGAGTGTAATGAGGAAGATACAAACTAGAGTGAAATGATTCAATTCACTTCAGTGTATTAATAATCTACTTGCTTACTAAACTACCAGCTATCACATAATAATCACCATATAGAAGAACAAGTCATTCCGAGCGACAAGAAAATACAGATTGTCTTAAATAAATTATTGACTAAGAACATATAATAATCCAATACCACCAATAACATGTTTAAAATGAATGTATATACAAGTTAAAAGGTTTTATTTAAATAAATTATCCTGTGTAAAAATCTACACAAAATAAGGAACAATGTAAATATAAAGATTTCTACATGCACTTCATGCAAAAAAATAATATTTAAAATGAACTTGTATTTAAATAATATCTACGGGTTAAATCATCAGTTAGCTGATTTTCACTTAATAAATATTTACATCGATTTAAAACAATTATAATTTAACACACAAACAAATAATGTTGTAACAACATGGATAAACAATAGACAATTAAAAATATATAAAATATATCCTTAACAGCGTATACAAAACATCAATACTAAAACATAACACAAAATATTTATTTTTAGATTCTCGGAATTCTCTACCTAAATGTCAAAAGACAGAGAGCTACGATCATAATAATAACATTGGCTTAGGGAGACTCCTCTTTGATTTCTGCATTTTCTGTGGGATGATGTGTAACTGTAGGAAGATCATTTACAGTTTCGTTAACATCAATATTCACAGCTTCTTCATCCTTGTTGAATTGATCCGTTGAAGGCTCTACCTCAGAAAACTGCTTGTTTAGGTTGACAACAGCCTTCATCGGTTGAGGTTCCGCATCTCTTGGAGAATTTTCTTTCTCGTCAGGTTTGATCTCTTCTTTTATCACTGTCTCCTCACGGTCAGACTCCACCTTTATCCTCTTCCTGTCTCTGTCCTTCTCACTTCTGCTGTTCTTGCGTTTGTGGTCGTGTTTGCGTGGTGTGTGCGGCTGTGGTTGTGTCACCACAACACCTGGTAGCCCGCTGTGTGTCACTGGCTTTTTCTCCTTATACAGTTGCTGAGTAGTTAGGCCCGAGACAATTCTTGAATGTTTGATTCCCTCTGTGCCTGACGGGTAGTACTGATTAAGACGAACATGCCAAGCTTGAAACAGAATTTCAGAAACTTGGAGAGAAGTAAATACGTTTGGAGACAGATTAACGAATTCCATTCATACCCACAGTCCAAGTTAATTATTTCTGTGGGATGGAAATGAGAACAGTTAGATAGTTTTAAATATCTTGATTTCTTCATGCAATGACGATTTTCCTGTGTTATTTACATTAGCCTATCAAAACTTTAATAATTGTTACAAATTAGTTCAATCTAACTATATTAAACTGTGAACTCATTTGCGAACAGTTTTGTAATTAAATAAATGACGTACTCTGATTTAATACCTTCAAAATTTTATCAAACTTGTTCAAAACCGTAGGATTTAGATGAAGCAATTAAAGTAGGATTACAGGCTAATAACTAAAATATCTAATAACTAATAGCTAATAACTAAGTAAATAACTAACCTATGAAAATTGGATGAGTGGCAGAGCCCAACAACTCAATGCCGAACGTTGTGATATAGATATAAAAAATTATTAAAACATTTAACATGTTTGGGAATTACCATAGGGAGACAAAATAAAATAGAAGAGATACAAACGAGGTTGAGTGCTGATAATAGATGTTACTGGAGTCTACCAAAAATATTGAAGAGTAAGCTCTTGTCAAGAAATAAAAACAAGAGTATATTCAATATAGTATACAGTCAGTTCTCTTGTACAGTTCAGAGATATGGACACTAACAATAACAAAACAGATCAAAAAGAAGATAAAAATAAAATATTGAGAAGGATATTTGCACCAACATTTGAAGACAAACTTTGGAGAATAATGAAAAATATAAATCTAAGAATCAAGTACAGAAGACCATCTATTGTGGTGATGATATGAAGAATTAGATGGATAGGTCATGCGAGAAGAAGAGAGGAGGATGCAACAATCAGAAAAGTGTGGAGAGGTTGACCAGAAGCCCCCCCCCCCCATTAGGATGACCAAGATTAAAATGGAGGATACAAGACAGATTGGGGAGAAGTAGACATAGTCTTGATACAACTTATTGGTGAGGGCAAAACCAACTTGGCAACAGGAGGAAAGAAGTGAGTGGTCAATACCATGTATTGAAATGATGACTTGAATATGTTTCACAATGTGGACAGCTTGGCTCTTTTAATAAATAATTTCCATCGATGTGTATGTTCCATTGCAATACGCCATAAGAAATACTCAACTCTGACTTGTAAAAACTTAACAATCCTTTTCTCTGATAAATTATTACCAGTATGAAGAATACCAATGATTGTTCAGTTTTTCATGACTTCAGATCACACCAATTCATTATTTTAACAGTTTTTCTATGTTACAAAAACTTCGCAAATATAACTAACAGCAGATTCCCATCTTCAACAAATTAATTCCATGATTTGTTTTCTCTGACCATAAGGCTATAATGTAACACAGTGACTAGTAGAAATAATTCATCATCTATGGTAATGGCAAAATAAAAGGATTCTTCCTATTATATAACAGTTACAATGTTGATGTGTTCCTCTCATCATTGGACCTCCAGGCAAGGATTGTATAGCTGCACGCAAAAATATGTTTGGAGGTAGGATTGTCTTTTGAACCACTTTGGAAAAAATGTTTTAATTTAAAAAAAATACATTTTGCCTAAACATAAAAATATTTATTCACGATAAATGATAGACTTATCCAAGAATTAATATATTTAATGGTCTTAAGGCAAATACATACAATTTATAACATATAAGTAATTAGTCACATGCACAATGTATAAAATATCTCCCTATACTCACCAATACTAGTTACCGCAGAAACAGTGCGAAACTGGTGAATAATGTTGCGTGGCAAAAAGTAAATATCATTGTCGCAGAGCTGTATGCGTGCGTATCTGATACCTTCTCTGCGGAGTTGATTCAATTTGGCATCTTCGATCCATTGCACACACTGCATCAAACATGTATATGTCAATGCCAATTAAATGTAATTATGTATGTTCAATCAAGCACTTTTGATTGATGTTTTGTCATTTGTCAGAGATTTGATTTGGCGAGCTTTAGCAATGCTTTTATAAGATTGATTTTTAAATATTTTGTGGTGGGTGGGCTTTAACACCAGACTTACCTTACTAATGAAAGCAGAAGAAAATGCAAAGCTACCCACCACAAAATCCTTTAAAATCCTGGCCTAAAGTGATCTTTACAAAAAATTGTATAAGGTTAATTTAGTCAAAAATACTTCTACTCTTAACCTATTTACTCAGTAGTTACCCTGATCTAAGATCATATAACTGAAATAAAACATTCACATAATTTCTTTACTTATACATTAACCCTTTAACTCCAGTGGCAGATTTATCGGACACAAGATTAACAACTGTAATCTACACTTGATACGTGCTACAGCCTTGAGCCAAGTTTGGAACAACTATGTTTTTGGTTGACCAGTGTTGTTAGTGTATTGGCCGAGTTGTCTGTCCAGCCATTAAACAGATTAAGGGTTTGAATCTTGGCTTGGTCAAGTCTGACGTACAACTCTAGAGTTTACCTGCAGTCTGTGACAACACATGGGTACTGAACACACCGAACACTGAACACAGTGGGTACTGTGGGCTGGTGGGTTGAAGTTGATAGGACGGATGTATTGTTTTGAGTTGAACCCATTGAATCACAGGATTTTGCTACCTTGTGCTCAAATCCTTAAGTGTATGTCCACAGAAAAAATATTTTGATTACATTTTTCTACAACTAAGATGAGGGAAACGCATGATAAATATAAGCAAAGTTGAATCAATAAAAAATTCATGGAGTTAAAGGGTTTAAGAATTTCTCTTATCTAAATTAGCCTACCTGTGAAATAGGAGGTTCATGCAGGTCCAACTGGAGTTTTTCCACAAGTTCATGGAAGTCTGCAGCATGAAAGGCGACTACATCCTTAGTTATTCTATTGTAGTCATATTCCTCTCCACCATTGACTGCTTTCAGCACACCTAAAAACATAAATATAAATTATTTTTTATTTTCATTACATTGCTTCCTTTGTAGCAAGCGGTGTTTGCACTAAATGTATAATCATTTCCTTGCGTGGATGTCTTTAACTGACAATGGTATATTCCTAAGGTTTGCATGGAATTGTCTTAGGACAGTAATAGTAGTTTAAATTCATTAAACTCATTAAATTCATTGTCATTCATTGAGTCTGTCCCCGACCCGCGGCGTGACCGTGTGTTTTGTTCAAGCAGGCCTGCATGTCTTTAAGCTTTACGTGTTGTAAATGTATATGTGTCCGTATCGTGTCATATTCGTGTTACGCGTTAATTTAATTGAAGAATGACGAAGCCATCTGGTGAATAAAAACTTCACAAGTACTCAGCTGATGATGACGATATGACGAAATATGTACTGAAGTGAAACTCACGATTCAATGAGCTATTGACATAAGTAATCTATTCTTACAGTAATAGTAGCATTCTCTGATGTGAAATGCAAAATGATACACAAGATTTGTACGGCTCAGCATAAACAATTTCCTGTTTTGACATCTTTCAAAATGACTATTACCAAATAATTACTTGAGTTAACAACACATTGAGGATCATATTTTATGCTATCGCAACAAAAATACACCCAACTTAAACTCACACTAAATTCTTTTACTCTAAACTGGGCTAAATGAGCTGTAACATGGCAACTGAGGTGGCATGAACCACAGAACATTCGACGGTTTGGGTATAAGTTAAATGGAAAAAAACTCTCCTCTACTGTATTGGTCATTGTTTCATTTTTTTTAATTAACTAAAAAATGGAAATTTGAGTAACTTCAACTTGATCAAAAATTTTAATGTTAGGTTTTATTTTATTTAGGTGATTGGCAAACTTCTTTTAGCGCTTAGGCCTGCCTGGTCACCTGTGTGTGCTTTGCTAATGTTACATAACCTATACTGTGTGTGTTTCGCCTGCCGTTCCCGCAGACCGGTACCGGTCCCCCGAGACTGGTACATCCCGACTTGCACAATTTACTGACTCTGGACATTTATTGACATATTAATTTTGTGTTTTGCTTTTTTATAGGAAACGAAAAAGCAATATATTTTATTGTTTATTATTTAAAAGTGTGTGCCTTTTAATATAGATGGACTAACAAATACCAAATCGCTATCAGCAGTTCCATGATTCACAGTGATTGAAAAAAACAATGGTTGGGAGGGAGAAAGAGGCTGTATACCTATAACCTATAATATTAGTAAATATTAGTTATAGTGCTATTTAACATTGTTAGTGTCAAAAACAAACAGTGTTGTGAGGATAAAAATATGGTATTTTTGTCACAGAGCCCACAAACGTCATTGCACGGCCCGGGCCGGTCAACAGTGACCGGCGATTGTGGACGCCATTTCATTGAAAAAAAAAAAAACGGCTTGAAACACTATTTCCGACCTGGATTCTCACTTCTGGGAACAAAAGGTAAGATTTTATGTAAAAAAAATGTCAAGCCCTGGGGACCCACTGATATTTTTACCGCACTCAAGGTGTTAACCTTGCATTTGCCTGTCCACATAGGTGTCTGGCTAGCATGGAACGTATCGAGCAAGGCAAGGATTGAGTCAGTACAGTACAAGAATCAACCATGGTAATAATAAGCAGTAAGGCTCTAGAATGTGATCCCACAACATGCATTACTTGAATTTGTGAGTCGCGTGATAACAACTGAACCCCTCAACTCACCACTAAAAGTGATTATCAAATAGGTACTATGTTTTGTTATTTTATACAAATGCAGGGTAGTCCTAAGCTATGCCATAATTACCAGGTGTTTACTCAATGTTATGGAAAGTTTTGTGAAATGTTTTGACACTATATCAACGTACCAACAGCAGCTGTGGTCATTCGGTCGAGTCCGTGACCAACATGATCCGCGTGAGCTTTAGTTCGATCTTCAAACATGTATTCTCTGGCCTCAGACAACCTGGGTAGATACTGCAGATTCCTCAACTCATTTATACCCGTCCTGTAATTGAAATAGCAGATTTATAACACAAGACAAATCAACAATCAAATTCATTATAGTAGGTAGCCTCGGTACTGCAATAATGACCAATCGGTTTTATATTACCTGTCATCGGTTCCAAATTTGGAATTGATGGTCCAGGTAGGCCTAAATACAAAAACCAACTAGAAAACAATAAACATTTCAATTTTACATTGACTATAATCCTATTATAATGGGTAGGCCTACAAAAGTCCTCTAGTACACCCCCTGCCAGCTCTGTAGTAGATATATCTGTACCCACCCTAAGCTCTAAAGATATGTATGTAGGCATTCTGAATAAAATAATTAGTTTATGAGTGGTGATGAGATAATTAATTTGAAACAAGAAGCCAATAGTTTTGGCTAGACCAATTTGAGAAAAATTTGATAAGGCATATATGATACAGCATACTAAACTGTAGACCTAAAATGCACTTTAACTTCAAAGCATCACTATTGCAAACACTATTTTTGCACCGTGAACAGTAATTTTACACAATCCACATTTTTTCTGTACCAGTACTCCGGAATAACAGAGGCATAATGGAATAGTAAAAGATATCTTCTTTACCTTTTCCGTTTCATCGGCGACTTTCCAATTTCAGCAGTGGGGACAAGCTGTTCACCAGGTCTTATCCACAAAATTGGTCCATCGTTAGATTCTTGTGGAGTTTCCATCTGAACAACTGAGAGAGGACCCCAAGGCATTGTCTGCAAATGCAATATTGTTAGTAATTGATCAATTACAATCAAATTATTATGTCTACACAATTTTCTCCAACTAGCGGATTTAGATAGGAGATTAGTAGTAATGTGGGCCAGGTAAATACAGGAGAACCTCTTTAATCCTAACTAACTGGGACCGGGGGTAGTTCGGACTATTGAATTGTTCGGGTTAGTAGATTGGAGATATTATAAAGTACAGTATTAGATTTAGTTTGAATTGCCATCAAAATATTTTATACCAAAATATATTAATACAACAAATAAAAATGAACTATTATTATTGCATTGTATTATTTCTAAGCATATAAACATAAACCCATACAAACTGCCAAATACTAAATTAATGTGAGAATATAGGCTACATTTTACATCACCAAAATACAACTAGTATGGCTCAATCATAATATGCTAAGTCATTAACCTTGGTTCTGTTAAAAATACTGTAACGTGTAAAATCACAGCTTACTATAAAAATTTAAATAAATAAAAAATGCCCAACACTGTAAATGAATATAAATCAAATAAAGAACCAGACAAACAGAGCCATAGAAAGTCTAGTAAGCTACCACTAGTCATTGGCTACTGCTACATGCTGTTTCAGGACAGAATAATATTGCTAAAAACATTAGATAACATAGTACCGGTAATTAAAGATAATGACACTCTTAAAAAAATAAAAAATATAACAATGACAAAAACATAGCTTATTATTTATCTTTGTTCATCTATCCTTTCTTGGGTTTCTCTTCATCCACACATTCAACAAGTTTCCATGGTAACTAATCACTCATCCACAAGATATTTAAGTTGTCATGGTTAATTACCCAATCGCAATTATTATGTCTACTGTTGTGACATAGCGCTCGGCAGACAGATGTGTAAAGAGCAGACGACTGTTAGTGCAAGACATAGCTTGACCTTGATGTTATCGATGATATTTTTTTGTTAAGCTTCCATTTTATTTTTGTCGATTGAACTGAGATGTTTCAAAAACAATATTGTGGGAGCCTACTGCATATAAATAATGGGCAGAAAAACTCTTAAGTGCAAGGCATAGCTTGATCTTGAAGTTATCGGTGATATTTTTTTGTTATGCTTCCATTTTATTTTTGTCGAATGAACTGAGATGTTTGAAAAATAATGTGGGAGCCTACTGCATATAAATAATGGGCAGAAAAAGTTACAGAAAAAGACTATACAATGCATTTCAACAATTTAGACTAAGAATCAATTTATAACATTTTCTTGGATAATGAGGCTATGTAACATACTTTTAGAGGCATCTATTGACCACGGTTGATCCGCCCCCGGTTAATCGAGGTTCTACTGTATAGTACCATACAAACATCTTATGTTAAGCCAACATTTTTGTGGAAAATACACATAAGCTCGAAAAATATGTTACCTCTTTGAGGAAAGGATTTGCTTCAAGTCGAGCCAAAAGATCTGGGAAAAATCCTCCAACTTCCTCATGCACGGTTCCCACAAGACTAATCTGGTGTAAGGGTCCATGTCTCACAGTACCATTCGCATAGTGTCGGAAAACCTAGAACAGATGGGAATAAATTGTAAACCTGTGTTAGAAAACTTGTAACTTTGGTCAATCTTATATATTATACCGAGAATTTTGTCTTACAAAGAAAATTGCATATGGAGAAGTATAAATTTTAGTAAAGAAAATTGTAAAAGGACCCTTGTTTATAAGTTTTGTGATTGTAAACAAATCATCAAACACAAAGCACCATTAACAACCAACAATAACCAGAATTTTAAATTTTGAGTTGCAACAGAAGACGAAACAACCAATGCAATAAATTCTCTGAAATCTCATGATTCCATCACCAATCTCATTAATAACAACTTATACAAAAATAATAGAGCAGATTGTTTTGAAAGACTAATGTTCCACCTTGAACTATCTTTTCACCAACCAATAACATGGTTTCCTTGCAGGCCGCTCAACAACCACAGCCCTAGTACAGTTCACAGAGTGTATATACTGGACCAGCTTGAAAATAAACTTGTCCTTAATGAAAAAAAGAAAAAAAACTGTACAAATTATTTTCAGCAACCACTTACATCACCCTACCTGGCCTGGAAAGGAAAAAAAGACAAAGTACTTAAGCATAGCATAACCATTGACTCCAAAATAACGAGAAAACCTCACATAGACCTACGACACGATAAAAACAACTTTCTTCTGCCACCTATGTCATCCGAGGAATAAAACTAATAAATGGAACAGATGCAGCGAAGGTGTCCTATTCGCTCTTTTTGAATCTCATTTCAGATATGATATATAGACCTGGACAGGAATCACTGCATTTAACCTAGAACACGTTTTCTTATCAAACAAAAGAGGGCAATCAGGTGCTTAGTTGGCATTGGGCAACAAGACAGCTGCTGTGGACCTTTCAAAGCACACAAATACTGACTATACTATTACTTCACATCAATAAAAGTAATAATCTATAAAAGGAGTAAACTGTAGACATGGGTGGAAAATAGCTATATGTGTAGTATTATAAGGGGATCAGTGTGTCATCTTGGTATTGCTGTTTAAGTAGTATACATAAAGGGTACAAACTGCAGGTCTGGCACAAACCATCTTAACCTGCTAAAACCAATAATATAAGTTACACAGGTTGACTACACAAAGTGTAATCCCAGTTTTAAAATATGTAATTCACACAAAATTCAGCTCATCAATCACTCTTTAAATTTCGTAAAAATTAAAAAAGTTGCATCAAACTGTTTAACATCTTTTAGAAGGGGCGGCAAAAAAGATTATTCTACCAACAGCGGCATTATATAAAAATGTCTTTGCTTCAAGCAATTTTGCTTCCTGCGCCAAAATACATCTACAGCGAGGACTATATACTAGGGATGGACGAGATTGGATTTTTAGTTCGAGACGAGACGAGATTTTTTATTTCTCATAAAATTTCGAGACGAGATCGAGACGGGATTTCCCTTCTCATACACAACGGGAAATGCACGTTCGAATTGTTACCTGATTTTGTAACATTGTTAGATGACTGTTTAAATACAAAAGTAATGATAATAGCCAAGAATATTTACAATCTTTTATTAAAAAACATCAGCATAACATTTTTTTACTAATCACCCCTAACTTATTAAAAATGCCTACGATTAGGAAACATAGTGATATCAGTTAGGATAGAGTTCAACTTATCCTAAAATAAAATAAATTATAAAATAAAAGCAATATTAATTTTTATAAAATAGTTGTAAACTTGTTTTGACTTTTTATAGTAATAAAACATTCCTCACACTGCTTACACTTAACAAAACTTCTCAAATGTTATTAAAGTCATATTATTAAAATAATTAAAGTAATATTTACATTTAAAGAATTAATTAAATAAGAACGCCTTCGCAAAAGAAACGCAACTACAACACGCTCCTGTATTGCATTGACTTTCTGCAGGCGTTTTAAAATTTTTTTATTTTTTTTTTATTTTTTTTATTTATTCTTGTCTCGATAAAAATCTCGGCCAAAAAGAAATCTCGTCTCGTGTAACAAGATTTAAAATTTCCCGAAAATTTCCCGAAATTTCGAGATTTGACCATCCCTATTATATACCATCTTCTGTTTGTATGCCACATAATGTCTGTCAAGCAAACAAGCAAAATTAACTAGCAGTAACAGGGTGTCTACTACATTCTGGATAAAAAATTCATGGACAATTCCCGTACATTTAAGGAAACTTTGCCGTAACCTTTGTCGGTGTCATTAGGCCTACCGAATAATTTTCCTGATTTGTCAAACTGTATTAATCTTGTTATTCACTGTAGTTGTACCAGAGAGAAAAGTAAATAATAATAGATAAGAGTTAAAAATTACAAAATATAAATTTATTGAAAGTATACAAACATAGGCCTACCTATACTTTAGGTAAAGCTTTTATAGTGTAACAGAGAAACGCAATCATTGTCTCCTGCGATAGCGACAAATATCTCCATCCGTGACGTAAACTTCATAACATAGCGTATCCGATCCAGGCCGATTAATTTGGCATGATTCGCCCTGGCACAACGTTAGGTTCTTGATTACTTTTGAAAAAAAAATCTTTAATGCATATTGTTACTCAATTCTTAGTACAAAATCAAGGTATGGTAAGCGGCTATTAATAAGCAATAAGCACAGAGTAAGATTATTGTATTTTCATTTGCAAAGTTAATATCGACACATAGCAATCATTAGTTGTTTATCTTAGGCTCAATTACATTTTCTTAATATATTTTAGAGCTCTTTCAAGAATCAAAATACCCAGGCCTAAACCTAATTATTTAGGAGGGCCTATATAAACTGAGTAACAAACAATGAGGTTATAATAGCAGCAAAGTCACTGTAATCATTCTAGTTCATAAGATTTTGATTGCTTAAAGCATACAACTCAATAAATAAATTTAATGGGAACTCAATAAATAAATATATGGGAAACAAAAAACATTGAAACCTGAATAGCCAACAATATAAGACAAAGATACAGAAAATGCAATGACATAATTTGAAACCAAGCAGGCCTACATAGTGATAAAACATTAATGCAAACAACAATTGTGGTTTTGTCAATTGAAAGATAAAATGTCCATAAAAAGGGGGTTAACTTACAAAATAAGACTGTAGATTATTTACATGTTTAATATGAAACCATAAACAGTTTTATGGCACTAGGTACTGGCCGCGGCAAATTGAATCTTCAAGCCGAAAGTACAAGTAAGAAGTGAAATTTAACAGCCATTATATTCACTAATTATTTTAATTATATTAAGCTATTATTTTCACAAAATAGGTTTGGGATCTAATAATAATTACCCTAGTAATAAAAAAAGAAGTTGTAAAGGAATAAAAGTGATACAACTTTTATCAGCTAGCTGCTGAGTTAACAGTTCTTGGAAGTACTTGACTTGACACTTGATTGTCGTGATAAAATATTAATGGGTTTGAGATTGTTAATGGGATTTTTATTGCATAATTACTCTAGTAATAAATTATGAAAATGTAAACAAACATCTGATATTATAAAGTCTGAATCTGGTAGTTTTAATAAAAATAAATCCAACCCTATTATAGATGTTGACAACTTCAATGACTTTTTTGTCAATGTAGCAAATTTTGATGGTTCAAACAACAATGCACTCTGCAACTCAAATAGGCCTAGTTCTTTTGATTTACTTAATAATCATCCAAAGCAATGTTATACTGAAAATCTTAACTTCATGTGGGAGCATGTATTTCCACAAGATATAGACTTAATCATCAATAATCTGAAAAACTCCACCAGCAAGGATTGTTATGGTTTAACAACAAACATTGTAAAAAAACTCAAGTATGCTCTTGTTCCCCCTCTGACATTCATTATCAATTTAGTTTTACAAAATGGTGTTTTTCCAAATAATCTTAAGCTTACAAAAGTTGTGCCTATTCACAAGAAAGGCGACACTTCATGTCCATCAAATTACAGACCGATTGCGCTTGTCCCGGTATTTGCTAAGGTTATTGAGTGTTGTATTTATAACCAAATAAGTGCCTTTTTTAGTAATCATAATTTTCTAAGCAACTCCCAGTTTGGCTTCAGAGCCGGTTTATCAACTATCGATGCTTGTAAGTCAGTTGTTGATGACATTCTGAATGCTTTTGAATCACACGCCTTTTTAGAGTTAACTTTAGTAGATTTAAGTAGAGCATTTGATTGTGTTTCTCATAGCCTGTTGATTGATAAGTTAAGTTACTATGGTGTAAAAGATAAAACTTTAGATCTATTTAAATCATATTTAGGAAATAGATATCAGATGGTATCAGCCAACAATAAAACCTCTCAGTGGAAAGAAGTCACAGCAGGAGTACCCCAGGGTTCTGTACTTGGCCCTTTTTTGTTTTTAATTGCAATAAATGATCTTCCATCTAATCTTCCTTCAAAATCAGTACTGTATGCAGATGACACCTCCTTAATAGTCTCAAGCAAATCTTTGCAAGAGGTAAAAATTAAAACTGAGGAGATGAAAATAGCAGCCGATAGTTGGTTTAAGGCAAATAAATTTTCAGTAAACAATGACAAAACTGTTTCAATTATTTTTTCACAGACAAATCTTGTATCTGAAGTATCAAATGCTAAACTGCTAGGAATCATATTAGACTGTAAGTTATCTTGGCGTAGTCATACTGAAATGGTTGTTGCAAGGTTAAGTAACTCTTTGTTTCTGCTCAGGAGGTTGAAAAATCATGTTAGTTTAAGTATGTTAATTAATGTTTATTATGCATTCTTTCATTGTCACTTAGTTTATGGGGTAATTTTGTGGGGCATTAGTAGTGGGGCAGTTAACGTTTTTAAAAAACAGAAAAAAGCAATCCGTATCCTAGCTGGCATAAAAAGTAGAGTTAGTTGTAAGACCTTTTTTCCTGAATACAAAATTCTTACTTTACCAAGTGTGTACATTTTGCAGAATATCATTTTTGTAAAAACAAATATTGAACAATTCTCATCTCGCTCATTAACTCACAATCGTTACACCAGACTAAGGAATAATTTAGAGTTACCATCATTAAGACTGGCCTCAACACAGCGCAGCTATAAATATTTACAACTTAAACTTTTCAATGCCCTCCCTGAAAATGTACGCAACTTGCCTATTAAGTCACTGAAAAATGTATTGACCGATTTTTTGAACAGAAAGGTTATCTACTCTATCGAGGAATTTTTATCTTTCAAACATGATGATTTTCTGTAAATTTCTAATTGTTAAGTAGGGTATTGTTTCTAAAGTATGTAATAATGGTTTCATGAACTGTGATATAATAGTCTTTCATAATAATGTTATTTCTGTGAACTTTATTTAAAAATTTATTGTTATTTAGTTTTAAGCTGTATCTTACTGCCAATTTTAGCCTTAATTATTTTGTTATAGGCACTTACCCAACTTGTTTGCTTAACTATAAACAGTATTATTATCATCATTATCAATACATCTCAAATACTTTTGTACAAAAACCCAGTATTATTAGTTTATTAGTATAGCATGTTCATCTATTTACACTTGACTCTGTACATTGTACTTTGAATTGTATATTATCTCCATTGACCTGGCCTATTGTATGACATGTATACTTAATGGCAATAAACTATTTGAATTTGAATTTGAATTTGAAACCTTTTATGTGCTCCTAACCAACTAGCGATCAATAAAATTATGGCCCATTAAAAATTTAAGGACATAGTCTGGCATTTAAGGACAATTCCCGTACATTTCATGGCCAGTAAAAATTTAAGTACAATTCCCGGTTTTCCCGGATTTCCCGGTTGGTAGACACCCTGAGTAAGTACCTGATCCTTGTATTGTGTCATTGTAGTTGTCTCGATGTCAGAACTGCGGCCTAAAACTCCATTTTTGACAGTAAGGGAAGGGTAATGTTCTGCCATGTAGTCTAAGAGATCAGGAAGGTATCTAGCTGCGTCATGAACTATTCCCATCACGTGATATGCACTTCCATTTGAATCTTCACCAAAAACAATCTGAAATCACAAAATACATTTTAAGAACTTTGATCAGGGTTATTATGTATTAAATTAATAAAATTGTATCAAAATCTTATCCACGTACAGTACCTACCGTTAAAAAAATGGTACTTCAAAACTTGGTTACATTTTAAAATGGGAAATCCAATTGAAAACTAGCATTTAGTTATCATATTAAGTGTGCACTGTGCACACTTAAATAATAATACAAATATAAAATAACCTTGTCATATTGTAAATTGCAGATAATAAAGGACGTTTGAAATGAGATTGTTATTCACTAATTAGTTAAATGAAATGTGAATAAATAATTGCATGAATGATACAAGTAACATTGAATATATTAATGTAGTTGACAAGCTCATTTTTGTATGAAATCAAAAAACATATGTAGATGTCTAAATTTTCTCTTGTCTTGTCTATGATTAAGTTACTATGTCAATTATTATTGTATTATTGTAACCTTAACAAAACTATTATTTTAACTATTTTAAGGTTACAAAACAGTAGGCCATGGTTTACTGATGAATTTTAAGTTAACAGTGGATTATCGATAAAATAATTTCAAATACCTTAAAGTATTCAGCCACCAACTCGTCCATTTCTAGAGGAGACAGATTTTGTATTTCATCCTGATATAGATGAACAACAGATGCCCCGCCGTTGGGGTAGGTTTCAACTCGGATCATGTGGCCGTACTTGAGTGGTTCTCCCTTGATGTGGGAGAGTGGCACGGGTCTCGGCATGGGCGCACAACTCTCAGGTCGGCCACTCCTGGAGACAAACTTTTCAAACGTCTTATCTCTGCGGCACTGAACACCTATGCTTGCTCTCTTTATTTTACTTCTCTTGTGACATCGAGAGCAAGAGTATTTATGAGAGGAGGATGAATCCCTATGTGTTCTGCTTTTATTGTCTCGGTCACGGTTGCGGTCCCGGTCGTGTCTATGGTCATGATGTTTCGACCTATGACTTGATTCTTTGTTCCTACTGCTGCTGTGATGTTTGTCAGAACTCTCACTGCGTCTCGGTTGACTAGAACTGGAGCTGTGGGATTCTAAGCAGTGGTTTTTTGACTCCTTCTCCTCCCTCGTTCCGTTCACGGTGTTTGCCGTAGGCCTCCCAGCTTCCTTCAGTGCTCGAACTGAGCTGTACATCTGCATTAAATTAGATTCAAAGGCGCTAGGAACAGATGATGGTAATTTATGGGATTTATTTGAAGAAGAATCGTTTCCAGATTTTTTACTCTTATGGTCATTTGTAGCTTCAGGTATAGATTTTGTTGGATTTTCTGTTGTTGTTGCAGGTTTTTTATTAATGTGGGATTTATCTGAATCTGAATGTTCTTTCGATACTTTAATGAACGTCTTTAGACTCTCTACTTTAGGAGATTCTAAAGATGAACTGTGGGATGCAATAGAGTTTGATTCTTTAACTTTTTCTTTTAACCTATCCCTGTGTCCAGATTTGTCCCTGTTTTCACTACTTTTATCCCTGCTTTCCGTTTTCTTATCCCTAGCATTAGATTTATCCCTACTTTCAACAGACATCTCACCATTTTCATTTTGTTTGGTTTCTACGTGCTTGTCCTTGCAATTATTCACCTCCTCTTTACCCTCACAATTTTTTTCCTCCTGTTTTTCTTTTACATCCAAGGACTTTTCACTATCTGTAGATTTCTCTTTAACTTCACTCGAGTTTGTTTGATTGAGAGAAGAGTTATTCTGGTACGGATGAATACAAACGCCACTGTCTGAATCTACCCACACATTGTATAGCTGTCCTACTTTTGTTTTTGGCCTGTTTTCTTCATTATTTGGCAAAAGTGTTTGAGATTCCTTAACCTGGAAAATAAAAACAGGTATACTGTTAGGTTAACTACCAGTACCGTTTTTTATATACAAAAGTTTTGAACTAGATAATGCCATTAAATGCTTTTGTGACTGAAAATATATATATATACAGGGTGATTGGTACTGTACCAATTAAAATTTGTATTTCATTTGAAAAAGTTCATAGAACAATTACATTGAGAGCCAGTAAGCCTATGTATATTATTCATTGAATTGAAACACTCTAATATTTAGATCAGTTCAACTCATTAGATCCTTTTTACAATTTTAAAATTCTCAATGGGTCTTAGAAAAGTATGAAAATACATCTATAACACTCAAAAGCCACACTTGTTTTTGGCATAGTCAACTAGGTTTGGTTAATAGTAAAATGACAAACTGAACAGATGTTATAGCTGAATATGTCAGTAACAGATGTTTAAACCATCACAGACAATAAGACGAAACCATGTTGGAAGCAAATGATTGAGCTTAGGCATATTACTTTCAGATGTTAACTTTTTTAAGTAATAATACTTTTTATGAAGTAATTTAGCATAAATTTCATTCCTGTAGGTTTAAATATGGTTTGGATACAAATAAAAAAAAATTGAAAAAGTTATTTTACAGGGTGTTTTTTCATGCAACACAAATTACAAGCGGAGACACTATTTAACAGCAAAAAAAGCTCACATTTTGGTATCTATGTATTCTTTACTTCATTGCCAACCAGCTAATATGTATTGTTATCAATGAATTTTAGTGCTATTGGTAATTTATTGTGAATTAAGTCCAAGGGTTAGCGTTACACTTAAGCTCTATTTGAACATACAAAATAAAACAATAGTACGTGTTATTTACAATAAATTGTCAATAAAAGTAAACCTCATAGATAACTGGAACAATGCATATATAGCTGATCAGCAATGACATAAAGAAAACAGGGAAACCATTATACGAGCTGGTTTTGTTGTTAAAAAACGTCTAATGGTAGTTGTAATAATTTGGGTTGTACTTAAAAAACACCCTGTAAAATGGCACTAGAGTAGGCCTAATAGATATCCTATAAGGGACATTTGTTTGTGATTTCATCACTTATATAAATCATGACTCTGTTAATCAGGCAACACTCGATAGCTAGTGCCAAATTAGAAAGTGTGTTTTGTACAGCAAAAAAAAAGTTGGTTCATCACATTGCCCTAAAACTATCTTTCAATCCTCATTTAACGGCCACTGTCTTATCTGTTAAATTTCCTTTACTCGAAAAGCATTAGACCTACTTAGCCCTAGTGATAAAGATACTCTACTAGACTAATACATGAACAGGATAAAATCAAAATCTGACATAAATAATGACCCTCAACCAGATCTAAGGACACAAGCTAAGTGGCATAGATGTGCTTAGCAAAACTAACCATTTATTATTCTAGTCTATGATGACAGGGTGTCCAGCGTCCAATCAAAATAAAATTCAAGGACAATTCTAAGTTTTACAGGTTCAAAATTGGAAATTTCCAGGACAAAACTTGCCGCTTAAAATAAGCATAACTTACTTAATTATACCAACTAGGACATTAAAAACCCCCTCAAAGGACCAAAAATAACTCAGATTAAAGAAGAATTGTATAAAACATTTTAACCCTTCCAGGGCTAAATTAAATGTAGGGCTGGAGCTAAATTATTGTTTGCCAAAATTCTAAAACTTAAGTGTTTACGTTTTGTATTCATTTTGCTTGAAATAATTCATGGATCATAAAAAGATTTTTCTTAACGCTGAACTAATTTTTGTACCAAAGTTATGAAGAAAATTAAATTTGATTTGACGGATATATCCGTCTTAGGCCCACAAAAAACATACGGTGAACGGATATATCCGTCTGCCGCCCTCAGTGATCACAAAATATGAACACCGCCAATAATCTTAAGAGTATTCTTGTGGGCGGCAGACGGATATATAAGTCAACCTTAGGCTATTCCTTCGTTTTATTTTTTATACATAAAAATGTATCAGTAATTCTGAAGTAAATCTAACCACTCAGTTCCGCTCCCATAACCTCATTCCCATTCCCCACCAAGACTTTCACTACCTACGTAAAGAGTGTTCTTCAGGTTCATCATATCCATCACATTCCATACTATTTTCAATGCCAAAATAATTCAGTAATACTTTTACTAAGCATCTCCTTTAAATTTCAGATCGTTTGGATTGGTCACTTTAGCTCAATAACATAGAAATAAAGCCCAAAACACAAATGGAAACATCACTCACGATCAACCATGTGTGAAGTGACAGTTTCACAATATTCACGAACTCTATGGTGCAAAATAATCGCTGAAACAGCTGCGGCAATTATTATTGCCAACCACAAAAACAAAATAACCCATTTATAATGCAGTGTAATGTTTATTTTTGTATTATAAACAATGTATAGGTATTGATTTGTTTTATGGACGGGTATATCCGTCTTTAGCCCAGAAAAGAAATTTCTCGGGACAGATATATCAGTTTTCACCCGGAAAGTAAACGAAGATTGACGGATATATCCGTCCATAGCCTTTGAAGGGTTAAAACTAAGGAAGTTTAGATTACTAAACTGAAAAAAAATATTTAAAAAAAAACGATCAAAACTAGAAAACATATCCTTTAATTGGATACTGGTGCCAACAAATTAGGTCCACCAAAAATGATTTCTCGCTATTGCGGCAACAGCTGTGATTAATTCTTGCGATAACGGCAATGACCGTGATCATTTCTTACTATAGCGGCACCGACTGTGATAATTTCTTACGATTGCGACAACTTCCGGATCATAGCAACTGCCCAAAAGCTTATACAGTATGATTTAATCATTGTATCACACCTACTATGATGTACTGAAATCATACAATAATTATTTTACCCTCAAGAATCTATCACACATTAAATTATACATCAAATAATGAGAACACTAACTATAATTTTTGACCCAGTTAAAATTTACAAAATAGAACATAAAATATGTAGAATTAAATAAGTTTGCCCTAGATAATATACCTAGCTACATAAAATGTTGGTTGTTAAAAATATAATAATTACAAATTTACTAACGTTTGAGATAGTAAGGGTCACTTTCTTCCCTTCTTTCTTCGCTCCTCTGCCACTAGGTGCCATTATTGTTGAGATAAATTGAGACTTTAAAACTGACTGCACTCAATGCAATCCAAAAAACGGATAAGTTTGGGGGCCATCCACTATCAACAGGTTGACTCCCTATCATGTAGCAACCCAACTGTATTTATGAATTATGTTTTTCAGACCAACGGAAAAGATAATAGGCCTTATTTAGACGTTAGGATTTTTGGAAAGAAATGTAGGGCAGTTTTGGATTCCCAAAGTTTTGGATTGTACTCAGAATTTTTCTCAGTTCTTCGTCGTTCCGTATGGCCATACGAAATGACGAAGAACTCAGCAAACTTCTGAGTCATGTGGTGCTGCCCGATGCAGGTGCTGTACGTTGGGATACTCTTGATGTTGTCTTCTCAGGTTGTACCTTGCAGCATTCTTCTGATAAGCCTGTTCCATCTTCTCTTGAACTGTAGAGTAGATTATTCTTAGACCCCTCAGCTTTTGTCCATAGACTTGGTTATCCTCTACTTCATCAGGTGAATCTTTAGTCTTGTCTTCATCTTACAGATTTAAGTTCAACTCCCGGCCAAAATTTAGACAGTTAGGAGTGTATCCAGTGGTGTCATGTCTTGCAGAACGAAGTTCGAAACTATTTAAAATAGTAGTGGTTGATTTAATAAATCCACCTCCAAATTGATTAAATAAATTTAGTAGTGGATGCTGCTTTGGTGATTTAATAAATGCAATAGTTGTTCCCTGTATAAAAAAATAATTCAACTAATTTATCACAGTGTGTATTACAAATAACAATCCTACATAAATACAAATATTTAAATATCATCAAATATTTCCACCAAAGATAATCACACTAGTTCAAAGATAATAGATAAAAATATGCAACTTTGTAAACAACTTCTTGTGATAATGCAAGGTCCTGGAAATTATCTGCAGAATAATCAGTTTGATCTGTATATTCCAAATAATATGCTACAATTGCAACTGCCCAAAAGCTTATACAGTATGATTTAATCATTGTATCACACCTACTATGATGTACTGAAATCATACAATAATTATTTTAACCTCAAGAATCTATCACACATTAAGGCCCTGTACACGACCGCAGCGGCGGCCGCCTAGGACCGTACACATGGCAGCGGTTGGAGCCGCGGTTACGCTGCGGTTGCGGTGTGAATTGACCGTCGCTCGACAGCCAGTATTGTATCTACCCAATTATTTCTTTTAAACGCGTAACGCTTGATAATTCTTTTCAGCAAAAAACTCAACTAACTCTTTGCCACGCATTCTTTTTTAGTTTATGTCCTAAACGTATCTTCTTTTTGTACTTCTTTAATGGACAGTTCAGTGTCAAAGTTTTCTGGTTCCACAGCAGCACGCATGGCCATTGTAAACTTACACTACGAGCACTGCATCAACTCCAGCCAAAGCTACACACTTCACCAACACACAGAGAGAGAGAGAGAGAGAGAGAGAGCGATGTCCACAGGGCAAGCGCGCAGATATCTGTGATCCTAATCTGTGATTGTAGCAACTGCAGTCAACCGCGGCGGCTACCGCCCTCATGTGTACGCTCTCATGCCAACTCTAGTAACTTCAACCGCACGGGAGCCGCGGCGGTCGAAGGGAAATCTACGACCGCCGCGGTTCGTTGCGGTTGATTGGAAGTGTGCGGTTGCATGTGAACGGTCCCATTTGCTCCTTTGTACTTTCAACCGCCGCGGTTCCCGCACAATGGCAACCGCGGCGGCTGCCGCCCTCATGTGTACAGGGCCTAAATTATACATCAAACAATGAGAACACTAACTATAATTTTTGACCCAGTTAAAATTTACAAAATAGAACATAAAATATGTACAATTAAATAAGTTTGCCCTATTTAATATCTACATAAAATGTTGGTTGCTCAAAATATAATATTTACAAATTTACTAAGGTTTGCGATGTTATTTACAGTTTGCAGCAAAACCAAGTAATTAATTTAATTAAAATACTGCTGGATTTTTAATATTTTAACATTTACAGCCCAACAATGATTGTAATTTACTTCACTCGATATTCACAAAATTTTATGTACAACAATAGTTAGCTTTATATTTCAAGTTATGCTTTATAATCAGTACCAGTCTATAAATGGAGCCTGACATTTGACAATCAAGACAAACAAAGTGGAGCATTTTTGGAGCGGGTTGAAGAACTCTCTAGAGCTCGGGGCTTGTCTCATCAGGAATTATTTGAGTCGGCAGTTGATCTTTTTTCGGGTCAGGCATTGATTTGGTATAGGTCTACCATCAACCGTATAAAGTCCTGGGATGCACTGTGTGAGGAGATGAGAATAGTATTTCAGTCTCCAGACTACAACTTTAGACTTCAACAGATCTTTAGCCGATTTCAGGGAGAGAATGAGCCTATCGACTTGTACATTGCGGCAATGGAGGGACTCTATGGGCGCTTGTCAGTTACGGCATCTGAACAAACTCGTCTTTCTCAGATCTTGAATAATCTGCATCCTACTTTACAGGATAGGTTGGCATTATTGTGTGATATTAAATCTTTGGAGGATCTTTGATCTGTAGGTAGGAGAGCCGAAGCAGGCCGTCTGAGAGCATCTATCCCTAGACAAACCCCTAGGACCGATATTCCCCAAATTTCCAGGACCTTGCATTATCACAAGAAGTTGTTTACAAAGTTGCATATTTGTATCATTCTATCTTTGAACTAGTGTGATTATCTTTGGTGGAAATATTTGATGATATTTAAATATTTGTATTTATGTAGGATTGTTATTTGTGATAAACACTGTGATAAATTAGTTGAATTATTTATTTATACAGGGAACAACTATTGCATTTATTAAATTTTGGCGAAGTCAGTGAAGCTCCTTACAACACAAATGACATTTGTCCTCATTGAGAGTCACATTGGCTGAGCGGAGGCGAGAAATTATTGGTCCTAGGGGTTTGTCTAGGGATAGAAGCTCTCAGACGGCCTGCTTCGGCTCTCCTACTTTACAGAATAGGTTGGCATTGTGTGATATCCCATTTTCTATTATGCAAATCTGTGATTAACTGCATTTTCTCCCAAAAATCAATACCGTACCAAGAATCAATGGTTGTTTCATACTAGGCTCGACTAACACACAAACTTCTCTGGTTCAAATCAAATCAAATCATCTTTATTCCATAGACAGAAATTGTATATTGAAAAGTACAATAGTGTATAGGTTGTGTCAACAATATAATACAACTTAAGACTAATCTAAGGTTGAGGCAAAATAATCTTCTATTTTATAAAAAACAGTTTTTTAGTAATATTCTCTTGATGGCTACTTTGAAAACATTTAACACGTTCACTGCGGGCGTATCCGATCGGATACGGGCCGAGCGCTGTCCAGGTGCTGCCGTAACCGATCGGATACGCTCGGCAATGCCTTTCGTATATCTTTGTTTTTGCTCTAGCGTCGGTCAAAGGCGAACCTATACCACGTTAGCGTGTAGTGGGTGACTTGCTTTTTATTGTGTTGTAGGTTGGTAGTAAAATTTCCCCATAAAATCCCCGTCCGGCAAACTTAAAAATCAACTTGTTGTCCCGTCATTCTCCCTCCAATTGGCAATACAATGGGACCGGCTACGTTCCAAGCAGTGCTGCTATCTTTGAGTGTTTAGCAAACTACATTGACTCTTGTTATAAAGCAGGACATCACCGCACGTTATTTGCTATTAGTCTCACCGAAATATGAGAGCTAATCACCCGGCAATCAGGTTTGTTCGACGCTGCGGGCTGCGCCGCACTGGGGCTACGCCTGCCATTTGATGGCCCGCAGCGAACGTGTTAATGGTAACTTTTTAACTCTAACTGGTAACTTGTACAATTTGGTTGCGGTATATTCAAAGCTAGCTTGAGTGGTGGCATAAAGGCACTGATCTATTCTAAAATTATTACAATTCCTTGTGGCATAATTGTGCACATCCTTAATACAAAGTAAAATATCACAGTTGTTTTTAATATATAACAGGCATTGAAAGATATAAATAAATACAGGCTAAGGGCATCACAGACAATTTCTTAAATATAGGCTTACAATGACAACATGGTGGAGCATTACTTAACAGTCTAATGGCTCTTTTTTGTAAAACAAACAAGATGTTGGCATGGCTACAATTAGCCCAGAGAATGGCACTATACACTAAATGATAATGAACATAACTAAAATACACAGTTAACAATACATCTGGAGAAACAATTGATTTTAAATTTCTTAAAATAAAAATTCCTTTGGAGAGTTTAGGAGCGATAAAATCAATATGGGAAAACCATTATAGGTTGACGTTAAGAGACAGCTTATTGGCCTTACACCATTCGGATATTGTTTTAACAGACTCAGAAATTACACTGTCCTGCATATACTTAGTAGACTTGATATTCAAACACACGTCGTCTGCATACATAAAACATGAAACATCATTACTTTGGATATTAAAAGGTAAGTCGTTTACATAAATAATAAAGAGTAGGGGGCCTAAAATGGACCCTTGCGGCACTCCGTGGGGAGTGTGTTTAAGCTCTGACAGTGATTTGTGATTGTTTTTCAATGGCACAAAACAAAAAAAAATCTGTGATTTCGGGCGTTTTCTTAAGCAAATTATCATTATTTCTTACGATAGCGGCAAGGACCGTGATCATTTCTTACAATCACGGCAACTTCTATGATCATTTCTTACGATTGCGACAACTTCCAAGATCATTTCCTACGATTGTTGTAACATTCGTGATTCGTGATCATTTTTCGGTGGCTCAAAACAACAAAAATCTGTGATTTCGGGCGTTTTTTTTTTCAGCGAATGATCAATAATTCAAATTGCCCAGTTCTTTACAAAATGCATGTACAATTCATTGATTTTTCCCTGGTTTCCAGGTTGACTGGACACCCTGGATGATCATAATAGACCTTACTTCATTGTTAATTGTGCTAAGTTTTCAATATAGATAGGTACTTACATGCTTTTCATTGGGTATATCTGATGAAATATTTTCCTGTCCTTCTTTGTCTCTTTCTTTGTGTCCTTTTTTCACTTTGATAATTTTTACAACCTTTTTCGGATCTGAAAGTAAGCAAAGGTTTAATATGTTAGAAATTTGCTTTTAAATAAAGGTTTGATCTTCAAATCCATTGACATTGGTGGTACTTGGGGATTTTTAGCAACGAATTATTGTTTGTATATTAAATTACATATTTGGCTACTTCCGTGGTTGCTAAGATATTTATCCAAAATCTAATTGAATCTGTTAGTTGAAGAACCATATTGAAATTAAAATTCTTAATAGTAAAAAAAACTATAGGCCTATCTAAGAAGTGTCTAGAAAGTGGTTGGAATAAATCCTACAGTTTAACACATGGCATGACTAGTAAAACTAGTCCATCTTAGAAGTTGGAAATTAGATGCTAACATTAAACCATTTAACTTTCAGGATTGATATAGGATAAAGAAGATCGCTGTGGCCTTAAATACATTTTATTAGTATTACATTGTTAGAATATTGTCTTTGCAACGAAACATGTTGAAGGTACTAAGCAATCTGAAATTTCTGAACTATTTAAGACAGAAAACCTGTTATTGTTTCAATAAAATAAAATAGTGGCCAGAAACAAAGATTTTCATTAAGTTTGACAGCATACATAATTGTTTTTACCTTCCAAGCAATTGAAACAAAGATTAAGTTAGCTTATAAAAATTACTTCTGATTTATTAACTGGTTTAAAGTACATACTGATAGAATTGTACAAAGGAAGTAACCATTTTAAAATGTAAACAAATTGTTTGGATAGGCAGTTTTGCAAAAATATTGATAGATCATATGATGAGTATGTGGGAGTAATAATGTGAAGTTGGCCTACTCAAAACAGTCTTCCCAAAATGTTTAATCTTATTTCTTACAGCCAAGTTCTATGTCTATTCTTGATAGTTCCACAATACCTTTTGATTCCAAAATCTGGAACTGAAAAATATACAAATTCATTTATATTTTGCTTACTATTTTGAATATGAATAGCAGGCTAGCAAAAAGTTAGCTCAACACGAATTTTTATGGAATTATTTTATTCATGAAACAACTTAGAACTATTATTTAAGAGATTATCGCAAACATGTCCTATCACAATTAGTGAAAAGCAAAGTTTTCACAAAGTTTAGGGACCTGGAATCTGATTCTGTCCCATGTGAGAAATACACACCATGTCTAACTCGTAGCACGGAATGTGAGAGGCATAAAAAAATACATAAATTTAGCCCCTCTAAAGTCAAAGTTACCGTAATCCTTTTTTCGCAGCTTTGTACACATCACTTTTACACGTTTGTTTGTTTGTTTAAGGTATTTGGGGGGACACTGTTTCCGGTTCCCGTATCTTCAACCAAAATAGACATGGAATAAGGGGACTTAAAAGAATTAAAGAAACTTTTACCAGAACTATCCGAAACTAAATTAACACTGAACTAATGACTTTCACTCATATGTAAAAACTCAATTTCATTGACTATAATAGAACTATATAGGTGCGATAGCATGAAGGTAGCCTGGTAAATTATTATAATATTGCTTTTTTTGGTTTTACATTATGTAAAGGAACAACACAGAATCAACTATTTATAGCCTACTCATTTAACCCAGTTTAAACTCAAGTAATAAATGGGCTAGTGTGAAATTAGCCAACCCAAATGATTTTAAATTAAAAACTCAATAGAATGACTGATTTTAGGTAGGCTCATACATAATGACACAAATAACTTAGATACTGTAGTAAAATAAATTCAGAATGGACCAAGAGATTTGTATTCTTCCATTCCAGTATATTTAGCTTAAACGCAATAACATACAATGTTAAATATTTTATGACATATGTATTATTAATCTCTAGGTAGGCCTACAGAAATGCAAAAGAACACAAGATTAGTTATCAGGGTATGAAATAACTGTGTCATTGCTTTCTATTGACTCTCACAATAAGATTTGAATCAATAAGAATCCATGTTACCCATTCATATAGGCCTACATTATTTCTTCTATAGAAAACTCTCTTTGATTCTCAAAATTCCAACAAACAGTTTTTGGTTTGTTAGGCCCATTCACTATAGAGAAATTGAATGTTTGATTAAGTTACCATCAGGTTTGTTTAATTGACTATTTTGAAAACTTATTAATTGATTATTTTGAAAACTTATTCAATCTATCGAAAAGGCCTTGTGAACAGTGATTGGTCCGTTTAACACACAAAGGGTTTTACCAGTAGGTACTAAAACACTTTTTGTCTTGAAAGTCTACTTTACTGTAATACCGATTAAACCTACAAGAGACGTATCGGTAATGCTACGTTTGCAGCTTAAAAGCGCCCATTTGCCCCAAATGTGTTATCTTCACATAAAAGTCTCGGAGCGAAAGTTCAATAAACAGGTTTATCTGAACAAGTTCACTCATATTCAAGCAAGCTTACTCTCTTCTCCCCTTCCCAGACGGTCGTCTCCAATGTTCTACGATTAGACAGGATTGTTGGCTACCTCATTCGAATCAAAACAAATAGGTATAGCCAAACTACAAATTGAGTTTTAATTTGTCGCCATGATTAAATAACTCAGAATAGGATTCCTGTATGTAAAATACTATCTACGCATTAATACAGTAAAAGGAACTTAAGGAAATTGTTTTAGATCAGATCAAAGATCTATTGAGGCACTAGTTTAGATTAATGCTGATCGAGTAGGCTATGCTTTTAATTTTACAGTTTTTTCAAAGCTTTTTGATGCCAAAGATCTTATGAACAGGTCCAGTATTGGTGTGACACTGGTCTCTGAGGCCTAAATATTATAGGGGACTATTTATAAAATGTAGGGTATAGAAAGCATGGGTGACACCATCTGTAAATCCTGTCAATTAGAGTGGAGAAGGATGCCCATGCACAAAAAGAACCCTTCCCCTACAGCCGTTGCTTTTGGATTAATGCTGTCTAGGGGTGCAACTCTCAATGATGTTGGAAGTCTTTCCCTCCTACCTCCATACATGCCATTTTATTTTCCCCTACAGACACCTAGGCTGAAGGTTACTATATAGACATATGTCATATTCTAATACCTAGGCTACAATTGTCGGGATTTTTTATAGCTGTAATATAAGTGGTTATTCAGTCAAACGGTCTTTAGTCAGTTCAGACAATCGGTGATTTAATAACATGAAATCTTGATTCCTTACAGTAGGCTAAATTATGAAATTTCAAAATCAATCTTGGACCTGTGCGACCCAATGTTCTATAATCCTAAGTTATAAGCACTAAGTTATAAACTAGACACACTAGTTCAAAATACCTAATTCTCGATAGCCTAACTCTTAACTGAGGAATTCAAAGCTAAATCACTCACCCTTGGGAAAATATTTTAGGGAGGATGTTTGTAGCAATACCCATTTAATTGACAGCCCTGGCTCTGAATAGGTCTAGCTAGCCTATGACAGTTACTATCACGCTATGAATCAAAATGGTTACCTACCACGCATTAGGTACTCACATAACCCACCAACATCAAGAGTATAGGCCTATTAAAGGCTAGCTAGAAAAATGTATCCAATTTAACTTAAATCAATGTTTAATCAAATGCAAAATACCGTAAGTGAAGTTAACCTTATTTTTAAAAATTAAATACGACATCAACTAGTAATGTCAATCATAAAATATAGGGTATGGGAGTGGAGAAGCCTCAACACAAATCAAATAAACCAATTTCATGAAACGAGAAACTTTAGTTGCTTGCAACAGATGGATCAGTTTAACACAGGGTTGTGCACACTGCGTTGCATCAAATTGTAATTTCATTGGTTTCTTAAAACTGGGTTAACTTACAAGGAATCCAAAAAACCAATTTCATAGCCTATATAACTTAAAGCCTCGTTCACATGGGGCGAGTTTAGAAGCTACTCGCCAGCGTGTAAGAAGCCGGCGAGTGCACTTGTATTCGTTTACACAGAGCTTGTCCACTCGCCAACTCTCCGACATATAGAAAGACGCCGGCAAGTCTGCTTGTAGTCGTTCACATGATGCTGGCTTGAACCAAATCCTTTGACATCTTTGAATAACATACGCACAAGCACAAGCAACTGTGTTCAAACTGGGCTACTTACACGCCTACTCGCTCAAAAGCTGGCGAGTTGGAGTGATAAGTAGCCGCAGAGTCTACTTTCTCCAGAGCTTTTTTACAAGCAGCTTTTGAGCGAGTACATCGTTCACACTGAGCTATTTTACTAAGCTGCGTGTAAAAAGCCAGTGTGTAGCTTGTAAACTCGCCCCGTTTGAACGGGGCTTAAGCTTCGGTTTCACGTTTCTAGTTGTTTTAGGCCTATGTACGGTACTAAATAGGCCCCTAATGTACGTCTTAAATTTAAATAAAGGTTTTAAAGTTTTTAAAGTGCTTGAATAACCGGTACCACGGCATGTGTGTGCTGTTTTTAGTAGCCTATGGCAGACATTTATTTCCAAGGAAAGTTAGCAGAAGCTGCTTATAGAAATATATCTTAAGATAATTTCTTAGGCCTATAGCCTTTGGGGGTTTTTAAGTCTTTGTCCACGATACAGTTAGCATAAATAATTTTTTCCAGAGGTTATGTGTCTGGTAACCGAATGTGAATTAGGCGTCCGGCAGTGACGTCACCGGTTGTGGGAGGCCCGGAACACCATTACCACAACGATACGATGTACAGCTATCGGTGTTCGTAGTGTAGTGGATAGAGTACTCGGCTGGTGTACAAGAGGTATCGAATCCCACCGGTGACACTAACTTTTTGTCAAAAATTTTGCTTAGAATGCCATTTCTTCTTAACTGTAGATACATCAAGTTGTTAGAATTTGAGGCATACATAATATTATTTTATGGACAGAATTTATAACATTCATTAGATTTTTACATAATCAGCAAGTTTGGTTAGTTAGGTTAGGTTATGACAGTAACTGCCGGACGCCTAATCTACGCCAGGTTACCGGACGCGTATCCTCTGCCTACATTTTTATCATTTACGTTAAATTCTAATAAAGAAGGTTTACATGGAAGACCTTCTGATCTTTGGATGTAGGCCTAATTAATGTAGGTGTGCAAAACACTTTATTGGGTACGGTAATCAATAAACCCTTAACTTACAACAACTTAACTTTCTAAGAAGAAATAGATTGATTATGAATCCATCACAAAACTGATAGAAACCCGTTTCTTATGTGTGCAAGTTTTAAAGAAACAGTTTCCTGAAATGGTGTGCACCCTGTCTTTTATTCACTGCAAAATGGGCCTATTTAACATTATTGTCGATGACTTAGGACCAATCAACCATGGTCATTAAAAAAATAACTTGAAAGCTTATTGTTTGGTTTGATATTACATCGGTGAACAACTGTGGAAGTGTTATAGGCCAAGGCTATGCCTAATCTAATACACAAAGAACAAAATTTAAGTGGACGGCCTTAGTGGTTAATTTAGGCCTAAACTTATAGAAAATAATAATTAACATGGGAAACACTTTATAAATGTGGTAAGTAAATAGGCTAGGTGATAACATAGGCTAACTTACATAAACATTTAGTCAAACCTACCTTGTGGACTTTTCTCATCTCCAGAACTTTTATGGTCAGTTTGAGTAGACCCCACTGGTTTGTTTTTGGAGGCAAAATTCCCTGCATCAGAAGAATGTGCAAACCACTTGGTTTTATCATCAACATAGCCAGATTTTGACAGCTTTTTGTAATCATGGTGCATTCTCTTACGTTTAGAAGGATCACCACTGGCATTGGCAGAATCGAGGGGAGTTTTCGTATTTCCAGACCCTGATAAACAAACACTTTTGTTTCCTACACAGCTACCACCAATAACACTGTTTAAAATATCAGAACTGATAGGTTTTGAATTAGATGATTGATTATTTATCACAACACCACAAGGTAAACCTGAATAACCCATAATGTCATTCTCCAACATTTTCACTGATGAACTGTTAATAGAAGAAGCATCACTCATATGCATACTTTTAAGTTCTGAAACATCATTCACTTCACGAATAGTGTCACTATGATCAATTGATATAGACAAAATTTTTGTTCTTGCTTCTGTTTCCATGATACTCAATTAAAGATAAGAAAACTAAACAAGAACATGGACACACTAGTTTACAGCAATTTTAAAGCGACCCTTCTATTGGCGTGCGAAAGACCGGGATACATTATGATTGGCCAAAATCTTGGAACTGTGAAATGAAGCAACCAATACGAATTGCTAAGAAATGAAGGTTTTCGCAGCACAAGGTATCCTTGAGTAGGATTTTTATCCCTGGAATGGGGTTTTAGTTTTATTTTATTTATTTATTATTATTTAAAATAAAATGGCTAAAATATTTAAGGGGTTTTAATTATTTGTAACGTAAAATAGCCAGGCATGTTATACTTATGCACACTTAAGATATTATGTAGTAGGGGCCGAGTTACAAGGTGTTTTGGTTTTACAGCTACCACTAGTGTATATATACACTATAAAAAGTATATATATATGGTACCTATAAAAAGTAACCTCCTCTGATAACTACAAAATATCACAAAAAGCTTGACTAGTTTCAAAATACTAGGCACATTTAGCTTCTTAAGATGTTTGTCATTAGAAGCAAAATACCTGCAACAAAAAGATTACGAGGTTACAGTACTTGAATTGCCAGAAGGTAAGTAGGAAGGAGAATTTTACTGGCATAACAAGTGCTCTATGACATAATATTTCTTTTAAAATATGTTTCGCTATATCCTATATACTGACGTCAGATTAGTTTCAGCATAGAATAAATAATTAATAGAACTATCTCCAGTTAGTGCATAATTATGAACTATAAGTGAACTTTTAATTAAAATTATGAACTTAAACGTCAATTGCCAATGTGCAGCACAGCTTCATGGAGAATTAAAAATGCCAAGCAGTGTTGTCCCGCCATGTTTTGTTTAATCACACACGCATTGGTTAAGCATAATTAATTCACACAACTTTCGGATTTACGGGCAGAGACACGGCACGGCTACCACACGGCACTCCAGGCCGCGGCCTGATAGAATTGGCAACGTTGCAAGTGGTGTTGTCTAGCGCCAGGCGTACCATAAGATAACATGGCAGGCAGGTGACACCAGCTCATTAATTTGCGTATTATTAATTTAAATTTATGAACATAAATTTATTAAAAGATTGAAAATAAAACACATAGAATTGAAAACCAAATCATCATTTAAATTGAAAATCTATGTTTGTATATTTAAAGTAGAGCCAATATTTTCATAGCCCAGTAAACTAGCTTTCATATTATTAAAAATACCATTAGCTGCCTGCAAAACAAAACAGCTGTTACAACCCTACTTGCGATTTTGGCGGCCGCCTTTAACTCCAGGTCGCGGCCTTCGAAGTGGCAACGTCGCAAGTGGGGTTGTAACGGCTGTTTAGTTTGGCATTAACTAATAGTATTTAATAAAATGGTTTATATTACCTGTCCGTCAGTGATCCTAATGTTGTTGTCGTCTTAGGCGACCGGTTTCAGGATAAAAATCCCATCATCAGGCTGTCAAAAATGTCATGTCACTCAAATTGAGGTCGTCGGTAAACATATAAACACACACATACAACACGAAACACGAAAATACGGATTAACATTGCTAGCTACTGGCCAGTACAGGACACTACGACGCGGCACGGGTAGTTGCGTGGTCATGACTGAGGTGTCCTTGCTCCTCTCCCGTTATCTATGGAATGCCGGTGGTATTGTTGTCCTATTCTAATCGCTGCGTCATAGATAATGTTGGATTTGAAAGAAGTCTGTTCATTTAAAATGTGTTGTGGCTCAATCTTGATGGATTTGTATATCTCGAATTCCTCTAAACAATCCAAAAACCGTCCTTTTTTAGGGTAACTATGTAAAATGTGTAGGTTATGGTCAAGGCTAGAATAATTATGGTTACTGTCTGCGAGGTGGTTGGCGAAAGCGGATTTTTGCTGGGCTATTGTTTTGGATGGAATGTGCTCTTTAAATCGTTGCTTAAATGAGCGAGTAGTCTGGCCTATATAATATTTAGGGCAATCATTACAATTGATCTTATATACTCCAGTCTTATTGGCTTTATCAAGACTGTTCCTTTTACGCTCTTTGAATATGGAGTTAAGTCTATTGTTGGCCCTGAATGATACACAAACGTCATTTTTTGCTAGTTCTTTCTTTATGGTGTTGTTAAGAATATTGCCATAATTAGCAGAGGCGTACAATTCACGAGGTTTATCAGGTGGTTGGGGTCTGGTGAGTGGTTTGTTTTTATGCTTATGTATTAGTTTATCAATCATACTGCTTTTATATCCGTTAGCTACAGCTGTGTGTTTGATGATGTGGACTTCTTGTTGATAATCAGTTGGGCTTAGAGGCAGAGACAATAACCTGTGCACGAAACTATTGTAGGCAGCCATTTTTTGGTTGTGAGGGTGGTGAGAAGTAAAATGAATGGTCTGGTCGGTGGCGGTAGGTTTTCTGTAAATGGCAAACTTTAACCTGGATTCACATTTTTCAATCTTTAGATCTAGGAAATTGATGGAATTGTTACATTCAGTTTCAAGCGTGAAAGTGACGTTCTTATGGATTTTATTCAGGGAGTTGGTCATCAGGTTGAGTTGCCTGTTGTTACCATTAAATAGTAGCAAAATATCATCAACATATCTATGGAAAAATATTATGTTTTTACTGTAACGATTTTTATCAGAAAGGATGTGTTCATTTTCAAACTTGTTTAAGAATATTTCCGCTAAAATTCCAGATAGGGGGGATCCCATTGCTAGACCTTCATGCTGAATGTAGTAATCGCCATTGAAATGAAAATAGTTTTGTTTAAGGACCGTTCTGGTTAGGTTCACCAGTTCATTCACAGCTTGTTCTGAAAGTTTGGAGTTGGTTCTCAGATTTTCATTAAGCAAATCAATAGTTTCGGATACTGGAATGTTCGTGTACAAGTTTACTATATCTAATGATGCTAATTTGTGGCTATTATTTATGTGGATGTTCTCAATTTGGCGTACTAATTCAATACTATTTTTTAGGCTATGGTTATTCGTGATGACAATTTCATTCCTAATTATTCTTTCAAGTTTCTTGGCGATGTTATACGCAGGTGAAGGGGTGAAATTAACCAATGGGCGTATTGGAACTTGGTCTTTATGAACCTTGGGCAAACCACGCAGTTCAGGGGCTTTAGGATTGGTGATTTTGCAAAACATGATTTCATGTGGTGACAGTAATTCAGTGCTGTTGTTGATTACTTTGTTTATTTCTTTGGAATATTTAGATGTGGGGTCATTGGGTAATTTGTCGATATTGTTGGTAGAGATGAAGGTGAAAACTTTGTTGTGAAAACATTTTAATGAGCTTTTTCAGTCCGAAGCAGTTATCAAAACCATAAAACACGAACATAATAGAAATATTGCTCGTGTTGCTATCCACAACAAAGTAGATCGTATACTGAAGAATCCTAGGTCTAATAACAAATTAATTTCTAGATTTAAAGCTAAACGACAAGTCGCCACAAGCATACAGGTGAAGCTAGCAGACAATGGAGCGCTGATAACGAAGGCAGATAAGGGCAACTCTGTCGTCATTATGTACAAGCAAGACTACTTGGACAAAGTTTTCACCTTCATCTCTACCAACAATATCGACAAATTACCCAATGACCCCACATCTAAATATTCCAAAGAAATAAACAAAGTAATCAACAACAGCACTGAATTACTGTCACCACATGAAATCATGTTTTGCAAAATCACCAATCCTAAAGCCCCTGAACTGCGTGGTTTGCCCAAGGTTCATAAAGACCAAGTTCCAATACGCCCATTGGTTAATTTCACCCCTTCACCTGCGTATAACATCGCCAAGAAACTTGAAAGAATAATTAGGAATGAAATTGTCATCACGAATAACCATAGCCTAAAAAATAGTATTGAATTAGTACGCCAAATTGAGAACATCCACATAAATAATAGCCACAAATTAGCATCATTAGATATAGTAAACTTGTACACGAACATTCCAGTATCCGAAACTATTGATTTGCTTAATGAAAATCTGAGAACCAACTCCAAACTTTCAGAACAAGCTGTGAATGAACTGGTGAACCTAACCAGAACGGTCCTTAAACAAAACTATTTTCATTTCAATGGCGATTACTACATTCAGCATGAAGGTCTAGCAATGGGATCCCCCCTATCTGGAATTTTAGCGGAAATATTCTTAAACAAGTTTGAAAATGAACACATCCTTTCTGATAAAAATCGTTACAGTAAAAACATAATATTTTTCCATAGATATGTTGATGATATTTTGCTACTATTTAATGGTAACAACAGGCAACTCAACCTGATGACCAACTCCCTGAATAAAATCCATAAGAACGTCACTTTCACGCTTGAAACTGAATGTAACAATTCCATCAATTTCCTAGATCTAAAGATTGAAAAATGTGAATCCAGGTTAAAGTTTGCCATTTACAGAAAACCTACCGCCACCGACCAGACCATTCATTTTACTTCTCACCACCCTCACAACCAAAAAATGGCTGCCTACAATAGTTTCGTGCACAGGTTATTGTCTCTGCCTCTAAGCCCAACTGATTATCAACAAGAAGTCCTCATCATCAAACACACAGCTGTAGCTAACGGATATAAAAGCAGTATGATTGATAAACTAATACATAAGCATAAAAACAAACCACTCACCAGACCCCAACCACCTGATAAACCTCGTGAATTGTACGCCTCTGCTAATTATGGCAATATTCTTAACAACACCATAAAGAAAGAACTAGCAAAAAATGACGTTTGTGTATCATTCAGGGCCAACAATAGACTTAACTCCATATTCAAAGAGCGTAAAAGGAACAGTCTTGATAAAGCCAATAAGACTGGAGTATATAAGATCAATTGTAATGATTGCCCTAAATATTATATAGGCCAGACTACTCGCTCATTTAAGCAACGATTTAAAGAGCACATTCCATCCAAAACAATAGCCCAGCAAAAATCCGCTTTCGCCAACCACCTCGCAGACAGTAACCATAATTATTCTAGCCTTGACCATAACCTACACATTTTACA